ACGTGTTTTGTCAACAAAACAGTGACAGCACCCATGCTACAATGCAACTTTTGCCAGGAAAAATAGCCAGTTTTGGCGACAAAAAATGTCTGCCTCTGCAAGACACTTTTGTCTTTTTCCCTCCCTTTATTGTCAACAAAGAGTTAGTGTGGACTCTGCTGTTTCTTTTGTTGAGAGAATTGTTTTGTGGCAGTATCTCACAATGGCAAATGGGATGAAGTTTAATAAGGTCAAATGCAAAGTACTCCACTTAGGAAGGAACAATCAGTATCACACATACAGAATGAGAAGTGATTGTCTAGGAAGGCATACTGCTAAAAGGGATCTAGGGGTCATAGTGGACCTGAAGTTAAACATGAGTCAACAGTGTCACACCTTTACAAAAAAATGCAAACAAGATTGTAGGATGCATTAGCAAGAATGTTGTGAGCAAGACACGAGAAGTCATTCTTCTGTTCTATTCTGCATGACTAGGCCCCAAATGGAGTATTGTGTCCAGTTCTGGACACCACATTTCAAGAAAGATGTGGAGAAATTGGAGAAGGTCCAGAGAAGAGCAACAAAAATGATTAAAGGTCTAGAAAACATGACCTATGAGGGAAGACTGAAAGAACTTGGCTTGTTTAGTTTAGAAAAGAGAAGACTGAGAGGGGGAATGATAAAGGTTTTCAAGTATCTAAAAGGGTGTTACATGGAAGAGGAAGAAAAATTGTTTTCCTTGTCCTCTAACGATAGGACAAGAAGCAATGTATTTAAATTGCAACAAGGGAGGTGTAGGTGGAGTATTAGGAAAAACTTCCTAACTGTCAGGTCAGGGTGGTTAAACACTGGAATAACACTGGAAGTTGTGAAACGTCCAGCATTTGAGATACTTAAGACCAGGTTGGATAGACATCTCTCAGGGATGATCTAGGCAGTGTTTGGTCCTGCCATGAAGGCAGAGGACTGGACTCAAAGACCTCTCAAGGTTCCTTCCAGCTCTAGGATTCAACAATTTTATGATTAATGCTTGCCTTGTGGCTGTGCTCAGTGTTTTGTGATCTCAGCTGCCCTTTAAGCATGTGCCCCTTCCCTTCAAAGTCCTGGCAAGCATCTGACAGCTGACTGAGCTGCCTCATTAGGGGAACAAAGAACAAATCATTGGAATGATTTTGTTCTGCCCTGCACTTGAAAAACAGCAGCAGGCAGACTGTTGCTGCATTGGGAGAGCTGGAGAGATTGCTGTGTTGCTTTGACATTCCTCAACACAGAGAGCTCACAGACCTAGGAAGTTTCAGAGCTAGAAAGGAATCCCAAGAAGCATACCACTGCATTGTGTTGTGCTTACCTACATTGTTTTGTTTTATCTGTCCGCAGGTGGTAGAACTGTGGCCATAAAATGTTGACAATGGGAGACAGAAAAACTGATTTGACTGGTTTTCACTTTTGGCGAATTGCATGTCAACATCACTTTTGTTGCCAAATCTTCCAAGTGTAGACATAGCCTTATTTTGTTTTATTGCACTGCATTCTCAGCCTCTATAAATTGTCATAGCTCCACTGATGTCAATTGTGCTATTCCGATTTACACAATCTCATGAATTAACACTCTCTTCTAAGTAGATTTTGTTGAAGTTTTTCCTTTCCTTTCATCTTTCCCTCCTCCTCTGCTTAGGAAAACTACTTTTTTTGTTCATTTCCCCAAGGGTAAATGTACTCCATATTAAGGACTAATGGCTACTGTACTGTCATTAATTGCACTATTAATGTCTCTCTGCAGGGGTCTTTCATTAAAAGAGACAATATTGTATTTTCCAGGGAACTGTTTCTAAAGCATCTTATTCATTTGTGCATTTTTTTAAAGTTATTTTTACTAACAAGCCAGTAAAGCAGACATCTGAACAAATTCCATAGGATTCTCTAGACCTGAATCACCACTGCATTACTCCAATTTGTGTAACTCCATTGAAATCAGTGGAGGTATTCTAGTGTAAAATACCTGCATTAATTATATTGAGGCTCAGGCATGCAAGCATTTGGAAAGCAAAGAGTTTGTGAACTTGCTGAGTTGGAGTCATTTAACTGAATATGCATAAAGAAAGTTTTAAGCTAAGTATCTAAATTCAGCACTAATCAGTAGAGACTCAAATTAAAGTGATCTATGTTTTCTTATAAAACATTGTTCATTGGCTGAACAATTAGGATTTATAAAATGAGGTGGGCAGAAAAAAATCATTGTACATTATGGGCCCAATACAAAGGTCGGAGAAGACAATGGGGGACAGGTAGACTTAGTTGCTTGTTTTGTTCACAAAAACAGGTTTATGCTTCCTGTTATTCTAAATTGCAATCCATAAACTGTAACACATGCACATTGCAATCAGTAAGACAGAGACCATGTCATATTTGTCTCTAGTGCATATTTATGAAATTGTATGAATAATCTACTATATATTTGAGAGAGTTTATTTGTTAGTGTGCAAGCAAATAAGTCTGTCTATCCATTTGTTCAAGAACTCCTCCTAAACGGTAAGAGATAGGACCACCAAATTCAGTACACAGCTTCTTCTTATAGTAACTTAAAGCATGGTAAGGATTCAGTTGTTCAAGGAAAGGATGATGGTTCTGAAGCTCTCCCCTTCCCATGCAAATAAGGATGCATATAGCCATACAGAAAAGAGATTGAATCATCAGGCAAGTGAAAGGGGCTGGCGCCACCTCCCCCCCCCCCCCCCCCCCCCAACCCATCTGGAAGTGCCTCCATAATCCTTAATTCAATTAGGTCACATCTACACATTAGGATTAAAGCTGAAAAAAAAACGCAACTTGAGCAACGTTAATTATATATCTTAAGTCAAAATAGCTTGTTTTGACTTTTGGCACTGTCTACACAGCAGGAAGTCCAAGAAAGAGCACTCTTCCTCCAACTTCCCTTACTCCTCATACATTGAGGGTTACAGGAGTCAGAGTAAGAAGTCCTCTAGCTTGACATTATTTTGACATTATGTTCAAATAACTGCTTGTAGCGTAGATGTGGACTGTGTTATTTTGGAATAATGTTAGTTATTCCGAAATAATCCTGCTGTGTAGACAAAGCCTGAGTTCATACTGTATACTGAACTCTCATCCCCAGCCACACCCCAAAGCAATGATTTAAATGGAGAAAAACAAAAATTTATTGAGCTAAGTACCCGAGCAACACTGGGTATATCTAGCAATTAATATGTTTTCTGTCAGTACTGCTGAGCCAACGCAGCTGTGGGAGAGTGGGCTGGTTTCTATCTTGCCTCGAGCATCATCAATATGGAAGGCATCTAAATTGTAACTGTCACACTGTTAATAATGCTGGTGAAAGAAGAAGCAGAATATCATCTCTTAATTTTTAGGTTTCACATGGAGTTTTCAGGAATGGATATTAGAAAAATCAATGTCATATGTATATGTATAAACTGAATATATTTGTGTAAATGTCACTGAGCAAGAGTACAATATGTAACCCTTCAATGTAATTTTTATCCTTGTCACTTTTTTAGTCTATAATTATCTCCTTATAAGAAACTGGAAATGTATATCAGGAGATAGCAGTTAACTAATATGCCTGATATAGAATCTAGTTATGTCTTATAAGGGATAACTGATAACATACAGCAACAAAAGGGAGGAAAAATAGGGGAGCAAGAAATCTACAAGGTGAAAAAATACAGCAGTTATCTATGATGCAATTCTGTGTGAAAGAAAATGAAACCTCCAGACTGCAAATAACGTCAGTAAGTTAGTACAAAGAGAGGACCAAAGGCATAGGTTCTCGTCTTTAATGTTACATTATTTGTCCACTGGTGCTTTTAATGTCCTTAGACAGACTAGTTCAGCATCTGTTGTAAGAAAGGTGAGTTTATGAGGGTTTATACTACCATCTAGTGTAATGTTAATCCTTTCCTTTAGAAGTTTTGCTGTTCATATTAAGAAGTACTTGCTGATACAACTGAATAAATGCCACTGAAAATAGTTTTGTGAATATATCATAAAAATGATCCTCTTAAGGTCAAAGATTTTTTAAGATAGTGTTTTTAACTGGTTAACATTGGAAGAAGCATGTTGTATTAATTACTGAAACAAATGTGGACTATGCTGAAATGGCTGGCCTCCATAATCCTTAATTCAATTAGTGGAGAAATTGTATTTCTTTCTGAAGATAACAGTGGCTTGACTGGTGCTGCTTCCTCCATTTAACTTTTTATATTAAAGAAGGGAAGATTAATGTCTACCCCAAAAGGATGCAAAATTCTGTGGAAAGATGAAGAAGTCAGCATACTTTAAATATGGAGTTCAGCTATGTTATTTGAGGCTCAGATTCAAAACAGTCTAAGAATATTTATCCACTTTTCATCAACATGGGTTGTGTAGTTTTTGTCCATCATTTCATTTTAGAACCATCACACCTGGAATTCAAAATTCAAGCCAAATGGCAGCAGATGAACCAATGTAAGAAAACCTGCTAAAAGGAGTCATAAATCACTAATTTCAGATGACTGTCCTCCAATATAACAAGTGTCATGGCTCCTTCCCCACTCTGGCATGATAAATGCAGAAGTGGGCCAGCAGGGGTACCCCAAAGCCTTATCTACCAGGCTTTGGTATAAAACTTCCCCCAAGATCTTAAAACCCTAGATCTTGGGAATAAAACTTCCGCTGCCACCACCCAAATGTTGATAAAGAAATCAGGGGAAAGATCATTTGGGAAATCTTACCCCTAAAATAAAAATCAAGGCACACAATTAACCACTGCTAGGTTAATAAAAAGAAAAGGAAGAGCTTTTATTATTACAACAAGATTCATGTTGCAAACATAATGACTAGATAGGGAGGTAACAAAATATACGCATGGAGAAAATCCATGGGCCTAGAACTTAGTTACAAAGAAAAGCCAAAACATCTTTTAAACAGTGCCAGATCTCAGATCCCATACCCAATCCATAAAACAATAAAACCTAACGAAACTACCTAAACTTTACCCTACTTACAGAAATTGAAGAATGGTGTCTTGGAGAGAGAGAGACATGCTTGTCCCTCTCTGTAGCTGCAGAGAACTCTCTCCGAGAGACAAAAAAAAAAAAAAAGAGAGAAACCCAAATTCCTTTGTCCCAGTTTGAAAAATCCCACCTACATTCCTACTGGTCACTCCACCTGGCTAGGAGTATTTAACCCCTTAATCCCCAGGCTGCTGGCTAACCCTCATAATCATGACAACAAGTATCTATGCTAGTTACACAGCAAAATGGCCACAGTTTAGGCCTGTTGGGTACCATGGCAGGGGTAATAATGTGGTGGCAGTATCCTGGCAGATATTTTGGAGAGAATATTAATAATGTTGAAACATGAGGTGATTAAATGTCACAGTTCCACTGACACCACCTATAGTGGATTACTCTTCAAAGCAAAGCACCTAAGAAACACTTGAAAATGCATAACAGAAATCAGTGCATGAACAGTGGCAAAGAGAGATCAAACCCATTAGTGAGCAAAGATTTACAAAATCATGCATAGTCGACAGATACCTCAAAATAGAGATGGGGAATTTCATTATGAGTATACAAGAGTAATCCTTAAGGTTTAACTATGTTAGAAATAAAACTGGCCAATAGAACAGCTCTCCGAATTGCAGAATATGTTCCAAAAAGATCAAGACGGTGAATCATGCTTTGAGCACCTGTAGGAGCCTGCCTGGTGAAGAATATGTGAACAAACACAAAGAGGTTGCCAAGGTCAATTAAATCCATACAAGCCTGGATGGCAAGTTTGGATTTCCATGACCCATGCAATATTATGACCACCAAATTGAAAATACTCTAGAGAATGAAGAGGTTAAGATGTTAGGGAATTTGACAATTGTCACAAACCAAACAGTACAGTCAAACAGACTGGACAAAGTTGCATTAAAAGGATGACAAACAAGACCATATTAATTGATATTGCCATACCAGCAGACAGTTATATAAATAAGAAACAAGAAGAGAAGATGGCAAACTATGAAGCACCCTCCCATGAAGTGGAGTGAGTATGGAAAACTATAACAAAGATGATCCCAGTGATCACTGGATCCTTTATAGCAAACCCTAATGGTCAGAATGATCAGCTCAAGAATATGGTAGGTATGGAAGACATAACTGGTGGTACAATCCAGAAGATAGCATGGGCATGTCTATACTAGGAAATTATTTCAAAATAACTTATTTAAAAATAATAACTCCCCAAAATAATAATTTAGAAATAGTGTATCCATGCTACAGGAGAGCCTCAAAATTAGTCTTAAGCAGGCTCTGTTAATGTGGACATGCTGCCTCAACTTAGAGCCCCAGGAAGCACTGAGGAGTAATTAGCCTGAATTACTCTGGGGAGTAGTTACCTTGAAATAGCAGCACTAGTGCATCCACACTAACCCTATTTTGAAATAACTATTTTGGCATTAGCATTATTTCTCGTGGAAAGCAGGAGTTATTATTTCAAAATAAGCAGCTTAGCTTGTTATTTTGAAATAAACAGGAGGTATTTTAAAAAAGCTCCTTAGTGTACACCAGGGCCTAGGCGCCATGAAAGTATTAAGGAAAGTCAAAAGGAAATGAGGGTATGTCTGCACTACCACCCTAGTTTGAACTAATGTGGTTAATGTAGTCATACGAACTTGCAAATGAAGCCCGGGATTTGAATTTCCCGGGCTTCATTTGCATGTTGCCGGGTGCCACCATTTTTAAATGTCCGCTAGTTCGGATGCCGTGCCCGCGGCTACACGTGGCACGAACTAGGTAGTTCAGACTAGGCTTCCTAGTTCGAACTACCATTACTCCTCATTCCACGAGGAGTAACGGTAGTTCGAACTAGGAAGCCTAGTCTGAACTACCTAGTTTGTGCCGCATGTAGCCGCGCGGCACGGGGTTCGAACCAGCCGGGATTTAAAAATGGCAGCGCCCGGCTTATTCAAATGAAGCCCCGGGAAATTTAAATCCCGGGCTTCATTTGCAAGTGCGGTATGCCTACATTACCCCGCCAGTTCGAACTAGCGGGGTAGTGTAGACATGCCCTCAGTTATGTAGGTGGGACCTCCCTAATCCGGCACTCTGAGTGTTACTGAACCACAGAGTTTCCTGGACAAGAAGAGGTCTAGGCTTCCCTTACGGCTGTGGGTCCTGCTCCCTGACAGCCCCGCTACCCCTTGCACTCCCCAGTGTGCTGATCCTAGTGAGGTCTATGCTGCCAGTCCCCACTTGGAGCTCTCCTTGCCAGTTCCTGCCAGCTAGGGCTGTGCTTTCAGGGACTGGGCCTGGTGCCTTGGGCCCAGGTGAGTCTGTGTTCCCCACTGTACCAGCCCCTGAACCTTGCCAGCCAGGGCTCTCTGGTCCAGCAATATCCTGTGTTCAGTACCCACAGATTTCAATCCCCTCTGTGTATTTGGTGTAGTGAGTATCTGAGTGCTGAGAACAGCCACCAATGGGCCTCTGTGCCACTCTGGGAAACACTGAGCTTTTAATAACCACTACTGCAAAGAGTCCCATAGGATAAAAACAAGCTTTGTGGGTTGCAGGACCCTGGTATGTTCAGTGATAAGATTTCTTGTAACCAAACTGTATGAAAATAAAGTGAAAACATTTATAAATAGCAAATAAACATTTCTTATAATTTACAAAGTGTTTTAAAACAGCAAGGAGAAAAACACAATGCAAATATAGATGGCAGCAGAACAGGTTAGAAAGTAATACATATGGAACATAAGAACCAGTAGAAATATATCAAATGTTTTAATAGTGATTTGCCATTTATTTTAAATCATTTCCAATTAAAGTTCTACAGAAAAGAAAATCCTCAACAATAATTAATTCATCTAGAAGAAAGATAACCTCCTATAATTAAAGGGTTAGAATTAATCCTTTTTTAAAAATGGAACATTCATCCTGCCGCTGTGAAATTAGTCTTTGGAAATCTTTCTGAAGGAAAGAAATTCTTCAAGGGAAATACGTTCAATAAGTTGGAAAATATGAAGTAGAAGATATTCTAAATTTAATTTTATATGAACCAGTTAAAGAAACATTATATCAGATTATCTTTAATGCAGCCTTTTCCAATACTCAGTGAAATCACAGTATATTTACTGCTATGACTATTGTAAAATAACCATGCTGCTGCAGTGGCAGAGAAAAGATTGTATCAACACGTAATAACCCCAGTTCTCAACATTTCTATAATGTCAGCAAAGGTACTTTCAGAGTAGGTAATACAGTCTGTGGTTTAGGCTGACATTGCAAAAGGTTTAGCCTGTTTTGCAGGAAGAACCTTTCCTTTTGAGTTTTCAGTTGCCTTCTCAATATGCTATTAACTCGCCTTGCAATACTGATACAGTGTATGCAAAAATCAGTTTGGAATGAAACTAAAACATTGTGAAAAAACTGTGAGTCTTGCAATTACTCTTTTGCAGACCCCTTTTGCCTTATTTTTTCCCTTTTCTACAAGCTAATAGCTTTTGAATGTATATTGGCTTCCATTTCCTTTTCACAGGCCAATAGAGTAGTTAAGTGAAGGAGCCCTCCTAAAGTTAGAGAGTTTCCTTTACATTTGGGAATGAGATAACCTCTTACAAATATCTACTCTTTGAGATGAATATAAAGATTTTCATTGGATTGAATTGTAAGAATACTTCTTTCATATAGTTTGATGTATGTGAAATATATTTAAATGTATTCGGGGATCATTAATAGATTTTGCTGCTATTCTGAATATGCTCCTCTGCAGCTGAGAAATAAAAGCCATCCAGAAAGCAGAAAGTGATCAGAGTTCATTGCAAATTGAGTTTTGCACTTCCAAGGGATATATGTGAAGGGGATCTTCTCTACACCCTGGTTTACACTAGAGAGTTAGTTCAAAATAACCCCCCTTATTTCAAAAAAATAAGTGGCGTGTCCACACTACAAGCTTGTTATTTCAAAATAACGGACTAGTTATTTTGAAATAATAACTTCTGCTTTCCATGAGGAATAATGCTCATCTTGAAATATTCAGGGGGTAGCCAAATTAGTCTATAACTGGAAAAACTAAAAAAAAACAAACGAATAGCACCTTAAAGACTAACAAATATGTAGATGATATCATGAGCGTTCCTGGGCACAACCCTCTTCTTCACATGAATGGAGTATTAAAGGTTAAGTTCCAAAATAAATAGTAGAGATTGGGGAGGGAGGAGTGGAGAGAAAGAAGGGAAAAGGGGGGGAAAAGTCAATTAGGGGGAAAATGTCATGAAGCTTATAAAGAAGGTGCAAATTGCTCTTAAGTTTTTTTTTTTAAGTCATTAGGGTATGGAAGGTAGTGTGCTAGCCAGGTAATGTCTTTATTCATACTTTTGTGATGGGTCCCAAATTTGTAACTAAAGTTCAGTTCTAAGGCTTCCCTAAGTATTTGGCTTGTGGAATTCGCCTGAAACAACATGATGACGTAGCGATCCATTAATGAGTGCCCAGGACAGGTTAAAGTGTTCTCCAACAGGTTTCTGTGTGTTGCCATTTTGGATATCTGATTTGTGTCCATTAATTCTTTCCCGTAGATGTGTGGACAGAGTTCACACTGGGGCTGATTGCAGGTGAGTTCCTGGATGAATAACCAGACATGAACTACTCCAAGACAGGCCAAGAAGAGAAAACAACAGAATTCCACTTGTCATTACCTACAGCCCACAACTTAAACCCCTCCAGTGAATTATCAATCATCTACAATCCATCCTAGAAAATGACCCCTCACTCTCATAGGCCTTGGGGGAAAGGCCAGTCCTCACCAACAGACAACCCTCTAACCTCAAACAAATTCTTTCCAGTAATCACGCAGCACACCTCCATCATAATAATCCAGAAACCCACCCCTGCAATCAGCCCCAATGCCAACTCTGTCCACACTTCTACAAAAGCAATTTAATCACTGGACTCAACCACATCAGCCTCCACATCAGAGGCTCGTTTAACTGCACATCCACTAATGTGATCTATGCCATCAAATGCCAGTAATGCCCCTCTGCTAT